GTGGAAGGGAGACTTCCGTCTTCTGTCTGTATCCATTTTCCACTTCGCCAGAGGCAAAGAAAGAAGACCCGTGCGTGCCAAAGTCTGCTGCGAGAGAACCGCCGTCCTCGTCATCGAGGGTGACACCAAAATCGGCTGTCCCACTGGTAGACGTGCGAAAGGCAGAATTGAGCGAAGACGCAGCGCACATGTACGCCGGCCCGCTTTTCCCCTTTGCAACCCCCTCGGCCACACTCTCAAAGAAGCCATGAACCGCCGCTTTGTTGGGCGACCGCATTCGAGTAAAATCAGAAAAAACCATTTTTATATCTCTTCCTTCCTTCTTTCTTTCCTTTCCTTTTCTTCTTTTTTCTTTTCTTTTTTCCACTTCACACACCCTCCGCAATATGCAAGCTAAATCGATGTGTCAAGTTGATTTCTCCATTAAAAACAAATAATAAATAAAAAAATAAAAATATGGGGCAAAAGGGCAGTACAATTTCGGAAAACGTCGCAAGGCACACATGCATGCGTAATATATGTACATAAACATGTATAAACACTTGCGTGCGTCCTCCACTCAATTATCCGCTGAGCACCACTCCCGTCATCACCATGAAGAAAAATCAGCAAAGACAAAAATAAATAAATAAATAAAAAAGAGAGAAAATAAAAGAAAGACAGTCGCAAACACGCACATCGGCTCAGATGTATCCAAAACGGCCGGAAAAAAAAAACCCATGAAACAACTGCACTGAAATAGAGGGAAAAAAAAAGAAGAAGAAAAAAAAAAAAAAAAAAAGAATGTGCCCATGCAGCTTTAAAATGCATCGGTAAAGAACCGTCCACGCAATAAATTCCTTTGCATGTCTCTTCTCTCCCCAAATTTTACTCAACCTCACCGATCCGCCTTTTTTTGTTTTTTTTTCTTTTTGATCGCATCCCCATTTTTCAATGAGAAACAAAGGCACTGCACGTCACACAGCACAGCCACGTGCCCACTAAATCCATTAACACCTGCACAATCGGTGCGGCGTGTTCAATATTCATATCTATGTAATGTAACACATACGGTAATGTAGCGCCAACCAGAACGGAGATAAATACAATGAGGAAGATGGAAAGGGAAAGCGCCATCACAAGTGCAAAACCTCGGTTCCCCTCTTTTATTGTCGGAAAATTGGAAGCAGTACTCGACGACCGAATGGAATATGTCTCACTGTAGTCATTATCATCATCGAACCAGAGGAAAAAGATCACCCTCAGTGCTCCAATGCACATAAGAAAAAAGCCACAACAAAAGGCTACAATTAACTCGTAGCGCAAAACGACACAGAGAGATAATACCGCAGGTCGATGAACTTGCCGACCAGCGCTACTAATATCTGTATTCAAACTTTTCCGACGACCCCATAGCAACACTTTCTGTAGACGTTCCAAACATGGAAAGCAAATCAAAAGCGAATCCCATTTCAACAAATGCAAGAAAGAAGGGGCATAAAATGGTTTGAGTAGCAAGGGGGAACGAGGTCTCTCCGGTGCCAAACTTTCTCCTGAAATGTCCTCTGTGTTTCCTTGTGGAAACTGACCTTTACTATTAATGCACTCACGGGACGCAAGAATAGCGGTGATAGCCGAAACCGCTGCCTGGTTGCCTGCGTTCCCCCCAGCCCCTACAATCATGCTCATGAAAAGAACCACTACTATGTGATTCCTTACAAGTCCCTCATACCGCTGCAACACCAATTGCGAACCAGACTGCAGGGCAAGTAAGGCCGCAAGCAGTAGAAATCGGTTTAACGCCATAGTGTAGGTGGATGCTTTCAAGAATTCCCCCAATAAGCATCGAGACGAAACTTTGCCACTGAAGACACTTTTTCCGCTAACCGTCGACGTTCTTTTGCCCCTTCCTGCATAACCGTCCTCCTCCCTCGACAACGCCAAGGCACCGCAATCCCGACCAAAGACACGCCCAATCTTCTCACATGCCAGGGAACTTTTGTCCTCACGACTCCCGGCAATCCCATGCAAGCCAAAATAAGTGAGCATGTGGCCGCCACTTTTCCACACACCCACACACCACAAGTTACGGACTCTCAGAACGAGCCAAGTAAAAAAAAAAAAAGTTGTGAATAAACGCCCCCACCACCCCCCCTTTTTTTTTTTTCACCTCACCGGATGATGATGCCCAGCAGAGTGTCTTCGCCCCGTCACCAACAACAAATCTCGTTTCCTCGGCCCTTGGAAAAAGCAGGAGACTCGGCGAGTAAAAAAAAAAAAAAATCGTTCGTTGAGTTGTGCAGCCGCTGACACACACACACACACACAAAAAAAAAAAAAAAGAAAGAAGGAAAGAAAAAGAAAAAGAAAGAAAACAAAAAAGGAGGATTCAAACAAAAAATATTATAAGCCATGAATAATAATAATAAGTGGGGAGGGACAAAAAGGGATTAGTCATATATATATGTATATATATATAAGTATGTATGTATTTGTATTGCAAGGCCTGACACCTCAAACGCTCGCAATAATTCCCGTCCACAGCCACACAATCAACTGGACGCTAAAAAAAAAAAAAAAAAAAAACAAGGAAAGTGCGCAAGGCAACATCGATATGTGTGTGGGCAACGAAGAGAATGGAAATGGCCACCTTCGAATAGGTCAACAAATAGAAAGTGGGAAAGAACAAGCAGACGCACAGACAAAGTAGAGAAGAAAAAAAAGAAAAAGAGAGAAAAAAGAGAAAGTAACAAAGGAAATCAAATAAGGAAAGTTAGCCCTCTTTGAAAACGCATACATTCATCGTGGGGCAGAACTATGCCAACTCTAAGCTTCATTCCGTACAAATAAGAGCCCCATCTACACCCCACATACGCTACCACGTTCATACGTAAGCAAAAAAATACATATATATTTGTTTTGCGTGATTGCACAAACACAATAAAAAGGCACGCAGGATTAGGCTGAGCCCACTCTGATAAAGATGGTGTGCAACACATCGCTCCGCTCCACAACAACGGGCACCATTTTGCCCACAATTAAACGAGACACCTCGCGCTGGAACTGCCGAAGACTTGTCACACGCTTGTAATCTATTTTTTTAATAATGTCATGTGGTTTTATTCCAGCCAGCGCGGCAGGCCCTCCTACATTCACAACCAACACACCACCGTTATGTCGGGAGGGAACACCATTAATCATGACACTATCCGTAGCTTCTATGCCAATCACTGGCCGACCAGCCCCACTCTCTGCACTCTGGGTTCTACTGCTGCGTGTCGATGAAGGGATGCGGCGGGGTGCTTTTTCCTCTGGCGTGTGCCTCGAGTCCAATTCGTTTGTGTCCTCTATAGTACTGTGTCCATTTTTACTCGGACTCGTCATTTTTTGCGTATCTACAGTGCTCAGTAACTCTCCCAGTTTTTCTCGCCATTTATTGAGGGAAAACAGAAACTGGGGTGCGAGAGTGCTCAAGGTTGTGGGGAGACTCGTTGGCAAGTATATGCTGGAAGAAAGAAGAATAAAATCATTCTTAATGGATGCCCCAACGCCACCGCCACACATTTCACGCCCCAGTAATGCTCCCTCCATCAAAAACTCGTAGACACGCAGTCGTAAGACCGGGTCATGTGGAATGTTTGTCATGAGAGTAGAATAAATATAGAGCCGCTCTGTTGTTGCATCAAAGGTTACTATTAAATTGTACTGCCCGTCAACACTTATGACACAAGTATTGTTATTATCAAACTCTAGCGTGTTCTCCAGGCCAAGGTCCCTCCCCATGCAAACCAGGTTGTCAATGGCATTTTCTCGCGCATTATACACGTTATTACCGTCATGAGCCAACGCAAAATTATCCCTGCCCGGCAACATCATTTTCACCACATTTTCGGCAGCCCTTGGCGGCCGTGGCCTGTTCTGGTATGTGTCTTCAAACTGGGCGTTTGCAGTGGCATTTTCTTCACTTTTTATTGGGCCAGACGGATGCCGGGCATCACTCTGCCTATATGATTGCTTCTGATTCAGTTGCCATTGCTGGTTTGGGGGGTTGTTGTTGTTTATTTCCTGGGGTTTCCCCCATGCAACATTCTTATCCTCCGGCGTCGCAACAGGCAAAGAAAATGGATCATTACCAGACCACTCACCTCTTCTCATTCCCTCGTGCGTCAACTCGGGTGGTGGCGGTTTACCCACACGTTCATGGTACAACAGTCGGTTTTGGTGTGACACAAGCCGGCTTAACTCCAGCTCCCTCCTATCGCGCTCCGCGGCAAGTATCTGTTGCTCTATTTCAATCTCCTTCTTGCGAATATTTACCTCACGCTCCTTCGCGCGCCGCTCGTACTCCTCCCGTTCCTTCGCCAGACGCTCCTTCTCTGCCTCGTACTCTGCCCGTTCTTGTTCTAACGACGCCCTGAGTCGCTCGTTGTCAAGTTTTTGCAGAGCGACCGCCCGGGTGGCTTCCTCTTCCGCCTTGAGTTGTTCGCGTCGTGCCGCTAAGTCCGCCGCACGCCGAGCCGCACGCTGTGCTTCCCTCTCTCGCAACTGAGTCAAACGCCGTTTTTGCTTCTCGGCAACTTCCTCCTGCAGACGGAGCCTTGCCAGCTCCCGCTCTGCCTTTTCTTTTTCCCGCGCAATCTTCATTTTCTTCTTCTCTGCTGCCTCAACTTGATCCTGCAGTTGGTCAATTTTTACCTGAAGTGTGTTGTCGTGTCCCAGAACCTCGTCGCCAAGAATTTCCTCCTGCTGCCGGATCGTTTGGTACTCCAGTGCTTGCCGGTGGGGCGAGACAAAGGATGCCGTGTGGTCTGTCGTCGGGTCAACATTGGCACGATGCTCCACAGTAAGCGTGGAACCATTCATAATACCGTAGGCGGCGCACACTTCATCGTCCCGGGTGAGCGGGGTGCCGTTAAACTTGATGACTTGGTCGGCAACGGGAACCGAATACGAGGAGGCCGTGGCAAGGCACTGCTTCAGTCGTCCAATCGTCAGCCGTCCAATGTCCCCTTTAATGTTGATACGAAATCGTTTCCCATCGTCTGGGCTAATGACGGTAAGAACATCGTTGGCGTTCATGGGATCCTTCTTCGCAGGCACCGGTTCCAAAGTGTGCCACCCACCGGGAAGCAATTTCCCTCCACGCAGTTTTCGCTCAACTTTTCTATTGTTGCTGAAAAATAAAGCCGAAGTGAAAAAAAAAAAAAAAAGAAAAGAAACGTACGTACAAAAGCATACCTCAGCCACTTCCCCATTTAAAAAAAAAAGTGACAGAAAATAACATATCATCTCGCATGCTGCCTGGCAGTTCAACCGTCAGCTCTTCCTCAATTATGCATCCTCTTACTCTCCGTCACTTCTTCGACGCTCATAATAATAATAAATCCATGAAATGGCACGCCTCACTTCGCACTCAACGCCACAAAAGAAAGGCCTCCATTTGTTGACGTGTGTCATCCGTAAAGAAACACCCAGTACGCTGGCTCCGATAAGGCAGGGGACGTCCATCACTTGCTTTGGATGATGCCTCCAGCAGTTGAGCCAAATGCCGTCCTTCACGTGTAAGGCCAATGGAGGACCATGAAGATACGGTATCGATTGCGGGTACACAAAAGTACCGCGGGAAACATGACACAAGAAGAGGTATCATCGCCAGGTCGCCAATGTAATCACGAACGTACGTCCGGCTTGCAGGTTGAAGAGTCTGGCGAAGGAGCACAAAGGAGAGGAAGCAATTATTATCATCACCGTCAGCAACTTGCTCATCATCATCAATAACCTCAAGTCCAATCTCCTCGGCATGACGCAGCTGCTCGCGATGTAGGCAGCACAAAATTTCTAGCACAAGCTTTGCGGGAAGAAGCCTCCGGTACACGAGTGGCGGTTCCTCCGACAGTGTACGGGGACGAACAAACGGCAATTGTAAAGATAAATTTTTGTCGTAAAAACCCTCCACGTACTTGTTAAACACTATTAGCTCCTGCTGTGCTTCCCTGTTGCTGTCACCACTGCTGTTATTACTGTTTTGGTCAATGATATTCCCATGGCTTCTGCTGGATTGTCCATATGGGAAAAAAAGGCACGCAACGCTCTCTTCTATCTCATGTTGAATAAGTGGCGGGACACGACCTTGCACGCCTCTAAGAAGGATATCATGCAACTTTTCATGTTGTCGTGGAGTAAGTTGTCGCAAAAGATGCTGTACGAAGGCACTATTGGCAGAAACGCCAACGGGATAACTCGTTTCCTTCAATGAAATAACGGGAGTTGAGTCGTATGGCATCAATTGTGCTGGCGTTGCCGCCAACTCTTCATAGACGGCCGCGTGAACCCTGAGGAAGGCGTGGCCCCAAAGCTCCTCCTCGTGCCTTTCCGCTCCATTTGTGGCTTCCCCCTCAGTAATGCTATATTCTACGGGATGAATGTGGGATGGCCACGGCCACCATTTCCTTCTCCATTGTGGCATCACGGTTGCATCAAGCTCCGCTTGCAAGTCTAAAAGCAAAAGACGCAGTGATATTTTCTCCCCTGTGGGTGAGATGGGCGTTGAAGCCGCGGCTTCGTTGTTCGTTCTTATCCGCCGAAGAAATAACAGACCCATCTCCACCGGGAGACTACTCATCGCTGTGGTGGACCGCTGCTGCTGCCGCCTTTTGCGCTGGCACTGCGGCGGGAGTGGACGTCCCAAACAAAATTCCACGCCCAATGCACGGAGCGCCGAAAATAGAGGGCCATCACACAGTTGGGGCAAATCATTGTAATCAAAAGCCAAAAGAGGGGCAAGGCTCGGATACTTTTCCACCGCACGATTACGTACGGCGACAAAATCGACAAATCCATCTTCCGTGTCTGCCACCGCGGAGGAAACGTCATTCCCCTCATTATTTGTGTTAATGACGGTCCTTGTCAGTGGAACAAACTCCAAAAAGGGTATCAGGCGCTGCGAAAGCCGGTACCGCTCCATCGCAGTCGGTGCAATAAATCGCTTCCCCATGTGTACAACGGTGTCATTCTCGCCAGATGCAAAATGAACAGATAACTGGCCAGGCCCCGTTGTCACAGTCGTTTCTGTGCTATTGGTCCCTTCTGGAATGTTATTTACCTGTGTAGTTGATGCCACAAGTTCTTGTGCCTGCTCTCGCGTGGCTGCTGTTGTATTCAAAGAAACTGCATGCAAAACGCTTTCCCCACCTCCTACAGAAGGCTCTAACAGTTGCACCATTGTGCCATTCTTCGTCAGGAAAAAAACGCTGTGCGTGTAAACCAAAAGCAGGCGCTTGACATCATTGGCAAGCTCGTGGCGTACAAAAGCAACGTTGGCTGGGCTTAGAGACATACGCCGGATGACCGTCAGCGGCACCGCCTTCCTCACAGTACCGTTTTGTGGTTCCAACGAGAAAAGGAACGCCGCAATTTCAACTGCCAACTCCCGAACGCCTGGTCTAATACGAAGAAAAAATGTCTCACCATCGTCTCTACTTGCTCCCTCGCGTTGAAAATTTCTGCGCCGCGTGGATGTTAGGTGGAAGACGCCAGAACTCTGAATCCGACTCGCAATTTGCCGCCTATTCTTATCGGCATCAGCACTGTTATCCGAAAAACGCACCACTTTGGAGGCATCGCCGTCACCGCGAGTGAGACCGGCCGGGAGTAGACGCAGCAGCAGCGACTCAAATTGTTCCTCAACGTATTCCAGTGGAACAGGGGGATAGAATGGAACGTTAACATCGGTCCCTCCGCCTTTATTCATGTTGCTTATTGTCGCTGTTTTCGTCGCATTACAGTTTCGAAGGTGTTTTTGGTACGCAACAAACACTTCCACCAAGGCACGAATGATATCCTCCACGTCAAGCAACGGCCGCTGCGACGCCAACGGCGGCTCCGGGTAAATGTGTGAAGATGAGGCTCTCGGTTTCTGCTGCTGATTCTCAGCTGGCGGCGGTGGCGGCGGCATGCGCTTCACAGAGGACACTGCGGGCTTTCCCGCTTTCTCATTCCTCACACCACCGCTCACTATGCACCGCGTTGACGTGTGCCACGAGGCCCGGTGAATATGAGAAGATGCCGCAACGGTGACGCCACCAAATAAAAAACATCCAACCCGTGACGCCTTTTTCCCTAGAAAGCTAGCAGTCCTCATGCTTTCGCTAAAGTTTGCTTCCCCTCCCCGCAAGAGTGCAGACGCAGTTTTAAAAAAGCCCACGCTGGCCAAGTTACAATCGTGCAAAAAAGCCACCTTTACCCCGCCCCACCCCCACCCCTACAACAACAACAAAAAAAAAAAAAAACACAAACAGGCATTATATGTATGCGTATGCAAAGATTTATGTACAATTGAATAATTGGGCGTGAAAAAACAAAAATGAGGCAATAATACCCACGCTGAACCAAAATACATACCAACAACAGCAAACAAAAAAGCTTTCTCAATGTCAACGATTTCAGCAGGAAATAAATGCATCACAAAAACGCCCTGAAACGCAATAAAAACAAGCTCAGCGGACAAGTAGCTCGCAAAGAACCGGAGGGTAAGGCTGCTCTGGTGTGTCTGTCACTGCCGATGATAAAATGGTGGATGAGTTCGGTGGCAAAGGCTGCGTTTTCCCCGGTTGCAATGGCCATAACAGAGTTGCGGGTGCCCTCGCGTCACAGAGCTCCAACCCACCCTGCAACACGACCCAGCCGGGCTGCCACGGCAGAAGCGAAACAGGAAAATTTATGGTTCCACGTGGTTCAATGAGGCCTAAAGGAATAAGTAGTGGACCCGCATAGAGGAAGGACGGCGCTAAAAGATCGGGACGAACCCGAAGAGCCAAATCAAACTGTTTATCCGAGTCATAATTCACAACGACGCAATCAAATGTTGTGGGCTTTCCGGCAGTAGGTGTCTCTGGATTCACGTTGAGTACAAAAAAATCCAGCATTGGCTGCATAAAAAGGTGGTCCACCCGCACCCGACTGCTATGCTCTGCCCCACTATCACCGTTAGCACGACACCACTTCCACTCCACATACCCAACATCTGTAAAGTTTGAAGGAACAACTGCCGCAGGAGCACCAGATGCAGTGTGTTGCAGTGGAAGAGAGCAAAGTATATCCGGCTTCACCACCAGTTCAAAGTAATAGCAATGCTTGTCCTTTGGGCGCAAATAAACGCTTTCCAGAGCGTCGGCTCCACCGCCAGTGTAGTGCGTACGAAACGCCCTTTCATCTTGCCTCGGTTTCGCTACATTGGCAGGCCACCATGGCGGTAATGAAGACTCCGGTTTCGTGGATGAGCGGCGCGGCCGTGGCAAAAGTTGAAAAACGCCATCTGTGTGTAGTTTTACGCTCACAATAAACAAAGGTACGGATGACACGTTTTGCAAGCAAACTGATAAAACATATTTTTTGGTTGGCAAAGTGATATTTGACATCGCTTCCTCAAGAGTTGGACCTGCAGCACGCAGCTGAGCATGCGTGTCTTTGCCGTGCCGAGTTATAATGGGGACAACATGAATAGTCCGACTCACTTCAATTATGGCGCGCTCCACCTGGATGCTAAAAGACCAAGTTAGACGCTTTGCCTCCTTGGCGATATCCATGTATGTCACCAGCACATCGAGTGTGTACTGGCCTGGTTCCTTGAGCAAACACTCCACCGTAAATGACGCATTTCCTTTCCCTTCTAGGTGCGAGCACTCGTAATTCACAATCTTTGAACGATGCAATGTCGGGTGCAGACACACAATGGAAAACGCCATGGTAGCCAGCGGGTAGGTGGCAGCGTTGTGGAAGCTTAAAAAGGCGCGGAAAGGTTGTCCAACAAAAAACTTTCCAAGCGAGGTGGGAAGTGAAAGAACAGAGCCAATGCCGTGCACCGAAAGTTCTGCCGCCTTGCTGCGCCGCCGCACCTTGGTCTGGGCGTCGTTGGTCATACAATTGGCAGAGGGATGATGAAGTGGGTTGCTAAGAACATCAAAAAGAACGTCGCCTTCCTCTACCAATTCGGGTGACGCCGCTTCAAAGAGCTCCGGCCTACGCAACACCGTTGCCCGAACAGTAAGCGGGTTTGCAAGCATGGCAGGGAAAAAACTCGTTGCAGAATACACCGATGGTTTCCCGCCGCTATTTGTCTTTGATTCACCTGCAGTTGGGGACGCCATGTCGTTGCGCGATGAAATTCCTTTTGAAGCAATGAATGCCACGAAAAAAAAAAAAAAGAACCATAAAAAAAAAAACCGACGTAACAAACGTTATACCTGCCTTCCCACTCCCCTTAGGAGCACGCAACATAAGGGTGGCAGAAGGGAATGACCTCAGACAGTTGCAAGCCATTGATTTCCACGCAGCCCAACTCTGAACTGGCCAAATTTGATATGAAAAATGCAGAAACTGATAAAAAAAATAGCAAACACACACACATACTCACACAAGCAAACAAACAAACAAGAAAGCCCCCTTCTCTTTTTTGTTTTTGTTTTTGTTGTTGAAGCGTAAACCCTTTAACGGCACCCATGAAGGATTATTGGATTAGCCACGCAAATAACTCTCCCCTTCAAGCCGGCGTTTTAAAAGGGACAAAATACGGCTTTGCTACCAATCATCATCGTCATCATCGTCAACGCGCCTCGGAATCAACTTGCCCGTGGCAGACGGTGGAGGAGGCGGAGTTGATTTTGGAACGGAGACTAGCGGCGCCGTTGATGCTTGGGAAGCTGATTCTTTAACGCCCCTCATTCCCTTTGAAGGGGCTGACTGAGGTACGTCGTCATCCTCATCTTCATCGGAGTGCATTCCCAGAATGCCCTTCCGGCGATTAGCAAGAAGAGAAGACAATGTATCCAAGTTGCTCCGAGGAGCAACTTTGGGTGCCGGCCGAGGATCTGCCTTGGACGGTGCTCTCGTGACGGGATTCTTCCTTGGGGGTGGTGGTGGGGGCAGTGGCGGTGCGGGAGGCGGGTTACCAAGCTTGGGAAGACTCCTGGCTGCCGGTGGCCCAGGTGCTATTGGCGATATTGGCAAAGGCGCTGCCTCTGCTGATAGTGGAGGTGGTGGTGGCGGGATCGCCGTCATCGTTCTTGCCGGTTGAACTGCTGTCTTCATCATCATCGCCGGTGGTGGTGGTGGTGGCGGTGGCGGTGGAGCCTTCATGCTCTTAAAGCCGGGCGGTGGTGGTGGTATTGGTGGTGGCGGTGCCTTGCCTGCAGGTGGCGGCGGCGGCGGTGGCGGTGGTGGTGGCGGTGGTGGCGGTGGCGGCGGTGCTTCAAGCGCAGAAGAGGGATTAATCAACGACGTCGTTGGTGTTTCTGCCGGACCGAGGGTGATTGCTAGTGTCTGTCCATGGGCCTTTTTCCCGCCGCGTGGGGGGGCCGCGTTCTCTGTTGCCACTTCACTCTCATCGCCGAGTCGCCGCTGCCAGCTGGGAGCGATATTATCCGCGGCTTCCAGTGTGTAGGCGTGCCAGGCAACTTCAGCGATGCCTTCCAGTGGTAAGTCCTCGGGGAGGTCATCCATGAGGTTTGCCACCTCTTCCATAAGCGGAATAAAGGCATAGTCATCGGAAGAAAATCGCGTCATGTAATCCCGGTGCACATCTGCTGCCCCACCGAGCCGCCGCTTGGCAGCCACCACACGCTCCTCCCTCTGCTGTTTCAGGACATCCAACTCGTGATACTCTTTGTAAAGGTTTTCTCGAGTGTTAAAGAGCAGCAATGAGCCCACGCTCATCAGCTGCCGCGGTAGACGACCAAGCCCCCGTTCTGCTACGGTGTGATACCGCCAAGATGCTGCCAGCGGCATAACGTCACCCAACTCCACGCGCTGCAGAGGGTGCTGCGGTCTCACCGGCCCTTGCTCTTCCACCGTCCCCTCGAGTCGTCGAATGGGCCGCTGGTAAAAGTTTTTGCACTCCAGATTGCCACGCTTCCCTTGGCCAGAGACACCATTGCTCTCACTATTATTGAGAGCAGCGTTCCCTTCATTCTCCAATACATATTCCGAGTCACTGTCCGACTCATCAACGGGGAGCAACACAGGCATGACGTCTTGCCGGTGTCGCAAAAATCTCCCTCGTCTTTCCCTTGGGGCCTGGGCAAGGTGCATGGGACGATAGCAACCATTAGGAAATCGAGACCGACTCTTCACTACCATCGCCTCGCGTCGTCCCTGCAGTTGTTTGACACGTGCGGTGCACGTTTCAATACGCTCCTGAAGTCCCTCTAATGTCTCCCGGGAATTCCGCACTGCGGCTTCGATGTTTCCAAACACACAGCTAGATATTTGATCAAGTTCTTCAAGGGCATGAATAACAGAGAGCATCGTCACGCAATCGCCTTTTGTAAGCGGAACAGGCACCACATACTCACACACCGTTGTCGCAGAATCATTGTACATGGCTGCTGGCATATTCTAAGAAAAACACTAGGAGATACTCACCTCCCCAGAACTGAGGTATCACACAGCTCTCCTCTTCCTAAATTCACGAGAACAAATCAAAAAAGGAAGCAAAATTGCTGGCTGCCGTAAGGGAATTAGTTCACCCCACCAAGAAATTACCAACAAACGGCAAAATGAGCCCAAGCAAAAATCAACGTCGCAAAAATAAAAATAAAAAAAAAAAGATGCTTAAAAGCTGAAACAGAAAAGCATCAAATATGAAAAAAAAGGTGGTTTTGTTCACGCCAGCAAATTGTACTGGGTGATCTTGCCCTTGGGGACAATGAGCTTGACGTGCGTGCCACGCTGCTGCAGCTTGCCGGCGTCGCGCAGCTCCTCGTACTTGGAGCGGAGAATGTCGGTGAAGCCCCAGTACTTGGACATGACGATGATCTGACGTCCGGGAAACTTCATCTTGGCACGGCGGAGAGACTCCAGCGCCTGCGGAATGTAGGCCTCCCTCGTGCGCATCGACAGGAGAATCTGGCCAATGCGAACACGAGCGCAGGTGCCATTCGGCTTACCGTACGAGTGACGCATGCCCGTCTGCAGACGATCGGCACCAGCGCAGGAAAGCATCTTGTTGATGCGGAGCACGTGGAACGGGTGGGCACGGATGCGCATGTGGAACACCTCCTTGTTGGCACGCTTCACCATGTACTTGTTGGCCTGAATACGGGCAGCCTCCAGCGCCTCCGAGGAAATCTGCTCCAGTTCGCGGGAAACCACGTGGATGCACACGGGGAACTCGTCCACCGTGGCACGGCGCTTGCCAATGTCAAAGTTGCGGATCTTCGGGTCAGGCACACCACGGCAGAAACGCGACTTTGGGAACGGCTTGTTCTTGCAGAAGCGGTAGCAGCGTGAGGGGCGGCGGGCCATGATAAAACTCTGTGAACAAACCACCTGCAGAGATTGTGTGTGGATAGGCGGAAGAATAAAAAAAGGGAAGTGGCAGCAGCAGTCAAGAAAAATAATAACAAGAATAAGAGTAATAATGAGCAGCATAAAAAAGAAAAAAAAATGGCACTGTGAAGAAAAATCGCCGACACCTTCAATGCGACTAGGGATCAATCTCCACAGCGAGTCATTTGGTCAAATCTCCTTGTCGTTTTTTAAATAAATAAATAAATAAATAAACAATAATAAAGAAAGAAAATAACAAAAAAAAAAAAATTAGCAATGGCTTTACCTTACACACAATTTCCCTTATCTTGTAATCCGATCCAGCTGGAATTATTTCACATCGTTAGCTCCAAAATGGCGTTCACGATGTCACCCTTGTTGTTTTTGAGAGCCCGGATGGCCCCTGCACGATCTGTGTTTCCCTGGCTCATCACAACCTTGATTTCCCTTTCGTCCAATTCACCACCGTCTTCGGCGTCTGCGTCGTCAGTCTTCTCGGCGGGAACAGGGGTCTCAGGAGTCTCAGCCGTGGTGGGCACCTCCTCAACACGTGGCTCGGTCTCCGGAACGACACCAGAGACGGCGCGGGCGGCAGCCTCTTGAGCCTCCATTGCGGTGTCGCCAAGCTGAGCCTCACCAAAGACAAGAAACGTGTTTGTGCCAGGGAAACGGTAGAGCTCCGGCTGGTTCACCAGGAAGGAGAGAGATCCGTGCTTGCGGATGTGCACCTTAACAACGTTAGGCTCCGGCTTAAGCCCCATCTTTGCCATGGCCTTTGCGTAGCGCTTGGTTTGCTTGGCGACCTGTGGGACTTCCGCAGCCTCCAGGGTAGGAACCTCGTCGTCCTCCACCGGGGGGTTCTGCACTTGCGGGGTAGACATTATCTGTTGGCAGTGTGTTAGCAGCGAAGCACTACAAAGCGAGGGATACAAGCAATAGAAGGAGTGAAGGAGGGAGAGTGTGGGAGAAAAGAAATGCACTCCAGACTGCCATCCGACACCCCGGAGTAAAAACAAAAAAAAGGCAAAACACACAGCACACACACACACGCCGGTTCACAATCCGAACGCAAAGCAAAGGGAAACGGAAAGAATACCTAAGAAAAGCCCGAAGATGGATTTATAAACCACATCCACCAGCTCACCACCACTGCTTTGCCGCCCCCAAAATAACTGTTCGTCACCAACTGACTACTTCCCGATCAAATCCCCCGATACGTCGTTTTAAGATGTGGCGGGTCCGGCGCCCACTCCCCGCGATACGCTTCGGAGCTCCCTGCCGCGGTTTCTCCCCTTCCCCCATTCTTCGCGTAATTATTCCGCATAAATTTGTACATAAATCCGCCACGGTCAAACGCGTCATCACCCCCTGGCGCCAAACTCCCGTCATCTTCTGCTACATCCATTGTGGAAACATCTCCAAAGAGGAGTTCTGCATTGTAGAAAATACAGCTGGGTAACAGCACGGCCAATGCGAGCGCCACTTCCAGAGGAAGAAGCGCAACAGCCGCTGAGGGGTGCAGAGAAACCGCCTTGTGATTCTGCTCAGCTTGACACTTCGCCGCCAACATGCATGCCATAAAAAGAAGACTGGCGTAACCTATGGCGGCCGTCAGCGCATGGCACAGTCGGCTCAGGAGACATGACTGCCCCTCCACTGTTCCCGCAAAAAATCTTCGTGCGGCAGAAACAAACGTCATGCACCCAAAGTACAAAATAAGAGGAGTAAAAACTATCCAGAAGGAGATCGGTTTTGATGTATCTTCCCCTCCTGTTTGCGCCGCGCGTAGCAAGGCAAGACTAATAAAGCTGAAACAACACAACTTTTCAAATACTGTTTCCAACAAAAACCCCCAGTACATCCGTGATAAGCATACAGACGAACCTGGAGGAATGAATTCAGCAAATCCATTTCGAAACTGAAAAGGAAGAAGGTAACGTAAAATAAAACAGCTCTGAAAGACGTATATTGCTGCACTCGGAGCTAACGCAATGGTCCATGTGAGAGCACCAGAAAGTCCGACCACAAACATCGCAACCGCAAAAGTAACAAGGAAACACATAAGCCCCAGCAGTGTGGAGGCAATTTCTCGCCTGGTGGCGCCATGAAAAACTAACAATCCGCCAATTAGAAGCAATGGAACAAGTGCTACCCACGCCGGAGCGAACACAGCTGCCCAGGGCCAGCCTTTGTTGTAGTCTAATCGTACAATTACAAGTACCAATGTGAGCAACCACAGCAGCATCCAAAAAGCAATAATAAAAAATGCACAACGAATGCCGGCAGTGGTCATCACCACCATCCCGTCTCCAAACTGTCGGAGAGACTCTATGCCCATTCTGCCAAATGTATCGTACACACGTCGCTGCCTTGGATCGCCAAGGATGGACTGCGCCTCTTGGATCAATGTGAACTGCTCCGTGGTTGTCCCACCAGTTTTGTCTGGATGAAGACGAAGTGCCAGTCGGTGATACGCCTTCTTGATCTCTTGAGGCGTCGCGTCTCTGGCCACTTCCAGCACGGCGTAAAGTGACCCGCTGCAGGTACGCTGAAGCATTTTTTTTTTTCTTTTTTTTCTTTTCCCCTAAGTTCACACCGCAATCTCAGGATAAGAAGCCCAATTCCACTTATCCACAAATAAATATGACTGTTCCTGCACAATTATCACGGTTTTGGTGAACGCACCTCCTTTAAAGGCGCCCTGCGGTTTTCATGCAACAAAAACAACAACAAAAATAAAATAAAATAAATAAAGAAAGAAAAAGCAAATGAGAGAGGAAGGAAAAAAATAAAAATAAAAATGCACATTATAAGTGCTTGTACAAAGTAGGAAAATAAAAGAAATATATACAAAAAAAAATAAATAAATAAATAAATAAAGGAAGGCACTCGGCACAGAAGCACGCATTTATTTCATTTCTTCTCACTGACTGTTTTTCGTCCCCTATTTCTCGAGTGGCAAATGGCAAAACTATTCATGCATGCATAAATAACGCTTTCCTTTTACGGTGAAAAAAAAAAAAAAAAAAAAAAAAAAGAAAAAAAGAGAATGTCGCCGGAGCGGATAAAAAGAAAAAACGAAAAAAAACCGGTAACAGCGGCCAGAACAGCACTGTGTGTGTGTGTGGAAGACGCCCTCCCTCCCCTCCATCCCATCGCCATCATCACTGAGAACCGGGCAGATGAAAAATTGAATGAACTAAACAAAAAAAAAGAAGTGAGAGGGGGAGGGGGAGGGGGGGAGGCAAAAGAAGAGGAAACAATAAAAATGAACGGAAGAGAAATTCACATACAAATACATGTACATACATACATACATATATATATATATATAATGATTATGCGTATATACAGGTGTATTATATGTATATCTTGCAAACTTATGCATATGCGCTTTTACTTAAAGTACCGTCACAATTAAATATATATATATATATATATATACTTTTGTCTTTTGTATTCATGCGCGTTTCCCGTTGTAAGTATTATTATTATTATTTTTTTTTTTCTTGTTTGTTTTTTCTTTTTATTTCTTTTCATTTTTTCTCAGCAAATATTCAATGTTCGTTGCAAAACAGAAAAAAAACATCAAATTTTCCGAATTTTCATCACCACTAGCTGTAATATTACAAATATTCTAATTTCAGCAGTCAAAAGACTTTAGAATCGGGGGGGATGTGGATGGGGCGTTACCGTTGAATGAATATTTTATTTATTCACACAGGGTAGAGGGGACCCCCGTTCTTCTTGTTTGTTTGTTTGTTTGTTTTTTCTCTATTGTAGGGGCCCCTTTATTTGGCGCATTGCTCCCCGTTCGCCGGTAGTGCACTTATTTTGTTCTGGGCGTTGGAGAAACATCGGGACGTTGTTGAGGAGAAAAAATCAAGGGGATTTGGATTCTTTTAATGCCGTATCGTGACTGTTTGGTTGCAAACGCTTAGAGGCACGAACCGATTTCCCACCTTTTGCCGCGGGTGGTGCATTACGCGGTTTGGGGCGTGTTTTTTTTTTCAACTGGGATGGAGGAACGGACACCACTCGATCTGCCACAGAAGTTTGGTCCCTCCCCACAATATGAGGCACGGAAACAGAAGATTCCAGCTTGTCAAGCGATTCTACTGGTAGTGCGGAAGCAATGCAATCAGCTGGAGAGCCTTCAACTTCATGCATGGAAGATATTACATCTTGCGACACGATGCCTGTTTCATTTTTTTGGATCCGAGAGAATGAAACGGGAGGAGTGGCAGGAGAATCGGACATTAAACTTGTTTTTAGCTCCAGTATTTCTTTATGATGTCCGGCTTCAGCTTCCAACTCACCCGCCCCCTCCAGGCGAAGTGAATGCATTCTCTTCTCATCCACCTCCCCCTCGTTGACATCATCCTCATCCAACAGGAGAGATTCTCGGGACATGCTGTCCGACGGCTTTGGTTCCATTTTTTCGCCCTTCTTCCCTGCAGCAGCAGCAGCAGCAGTGAAAGTAAAGGCCGCATTTAATTTGTTCACCTCCTCATTACGAGGTTCTTCACTATAAGACGCAAATAAACTTTTGCCTTCACGCTCAAAATGTGGCATCATTTGAGAACTGTCACCCGTATTCCCCACAGAATGTGGTTCACTCTTCTCCGGCAAAAGTGACTGATCCCCCCGGAAACCTGAAAGAATTCTCTCCTCCATATTCAATCTGGAGTATGGCGCGTCCTCTGGAAAAGCATGCGTCATACCCACACCTCCAACTCCCCTATGAGGGAGACTCTTACTGATAAAATAATGCGCGCGGTGACGCCACCGTTTACCACTTGTTCCTATAATAATCTGTACACCCGTATATGATGTCAATTCAGCAACAAATCGCTGCATCGCATCCGACTCATCATTCTCTCTCACATCAATCATTTGAAGAGGGCGGGCAGGTGATACTTGATCCTGCTCATTACTGTTAAGAAGCTCCAACAGGCATTTGCGAAGCCCCACCCGAGACATGTTGTTTTGCGAGAGAAGTACGTGTTGAAGGGATCTACAAAAGACAAACTGTGCCGTGTCGGAATCTGGCAATGAGGTTTCATTAATGTCACCGTATGCACGAACACGAGTAAGGACACAACTGGAGGTTGACGTCTCCCCCGACATGAGCTTCTCTTGCATGTCCCTAGATGAAATGACAGATTGGTTGCTCGAACCACACAAAAACGAAATAGCCGAGTGGTAGTGCAACACGTGACCCATATGGTCAACAATGTCGCGCAAGAGCCACGGCCCGCTCACATCATCCAATAAGCCCTGCTGAATTTCCAAAAGAAAAAATTCATGCGGTATCCATGAGTGGGGCTTGTTTGGTGTGTTGGGTCGTGTGTCGACAAGATCGCCATCCAAAGGCGACTCACCCTCCGTTCCCTGAGTCCAATCATCATGACAACTGGGGGCAACAAATTTCATGACAGCGACAAGTTTGGATAAAAAAATGGAAAAACTTTGCGTAAAAATATGTCGCTGCTCCGCCTCATATAAGCGCTGACCGATGCAAACAGAGGGATCCACGACAAACCCTATCCGCCCCTTGCACCGTTTGCAGCGCAGTGCGTCGTGCAAAAACGAAAACAGTGTCGCGTCTTCAAGGTCGAGAAAACTGAGAAAGTGAGGAGTTGTATCCGTCACAATGGGTCGCACAGGCGACGGTGTCACTTCTTCTTTCGGAAATTCCGTCAGCATCTCCGGGTTAAGGCTCTCTCGGCATACAAGACGCAACTCCGTGTAGGACATCGGCAACGCATGGTTCTTCTCTGTACCAAAAGAAGAGCTCCGCCTCTTCCAAGTCTCATGAATGACATGAGGCACTGGAGCACAGGCCTGTACTACAACCGAAAGGTCGCTTCCCATTTTGATTCCACTGTTACTGAGAAGAATCCACCGTCGTTCTTACAAATGAATATATGAATATATGAATATATGAATAAATATCCCCCTCCCCTTCTTTATGTCCTCTGCTACACCGTGAGTCCTTTTTTTTTTTTTTTTTTTTCCTTTTGTACTTATTTTTACGTAAGGTTGGTTGGTTGGTAGGTAGGGGTTAGGGTCAGGGGAGAGGTTTCGCTGCGTATGTATAAATGTATAGGTATATATATATATATATACCGTTTTAAACTTCAAAAGTGCCAAAAGAAAAGGAAAATATATATATTTTTTAAAAAGGGGTTTTCATGAACCACGCTTACAGAACAATACCATCATTATTCCTTCGCTCTCATTCGCAAGGGAAACTCCTCCAAAGAAAAAAAAAAAAAAGAAGACAATGCACCAGATGGCATCTGGTGCAATTCTTGAGTAAAATTCTCTACATTTCCTCCCCTTCCTTCATCGTCTGTCGCAGAACACTAAAGCATATATTTCCGTTCGGTAAAATATGTATGACGTCCAAAACGTGAGCGACCCTCTACTGGCTCCACAGGTGTCTTGCCGTGCACTGTCATTATACATCCTGTTACGGGATTACCCGTATAAAGCGTGACAGGTTCATCAGAGAGATAATCATTACGCAGCTCATTGATGATTGGTAGCTCCTCTTCACGACAGTGCGATTTATGATACGTCGAGAGATAAATGCCACCTCCATCCTCTGCCAAGCGCGAAAGACGTGTCTGTTGTTCCCTGTCACATGCCTCTTTCTCTTCTTTCGCTGCTTTCAACGCAACTTCGAGGAGTACACGGCTGCGTGCACCCATATCGGGGCGCCGCAGGCGTCGCACGTCACCGTTGGCCTCGCAGTAGTCATGGCGCTGTGTCGTCTGCAAAAGACGCAAATGAGGATTTCGCGCGTCAATCGTCAAGTAGGGTGTTGACTGATAACCACCGGCGTAGCGTCCATTTTTTCCCTCGCGTATGACATCCAGACTTGCCTGCAGCACTGCCGTTTGCACAAAATCGTCGGCCGGCACTGACCCCGGCAGAAGCGGTCGCTGCGCAAGAAGGTCGTCTTCTAGCGACTTCTCTTCCTGCCAATTACCGCAAAGAACCTTGCAAGCTTGTCGCTTATGGCTCTCGTGCCGCACCTTATTGTATCGCTTCTCCTCGATCCATGTCCCACCCGGGCTGCAGGTGTCGATGGGCACGTACGGCTTCTGACTGCGTGCGCTCACTCCCATTCCTTCACTTCGCCTTTCGGATTTGTCAATGCGCCGGCGTCTACACTCACCCTTTGTTCCCTTCCCACCTCCTCGTTTCTCACAAGAGCAGCCACGCAATAGGGCAAAACCAAAGAAAATATATATATATATATATATATATATATATACATGAGACATCGTCGCAGACGCACACGCAGCAAAATGACGTTTGATCCCAAACCCTTCCTTCTCTCCACACCCCTGCTTTTTTGCAAACGAACCAAAGGCACAATGAGGTCATTATATTTTTTTTTTTTTCATTCTTTTACTGTGCCCCTCCTCATTAATACTTTGCCACTCCTTCCTCCAGACACACACACACAGACACGCAGAAAAGGAAAGAAAAATTTTCCTCCCTCCTTTGCGGTTTTATACGTCTCTCACTCTTTTATGATTATTTATTTATTTATTTATTTATTTTTTTTTTTTTTTTTGTGTGTGTGCGTGCGTTTCTTTTGGTTCTTTACCCTCCATTTTTATTTTTGATTGATTTGGTGTTGGACGCACTGCGGGTAAGAGAATGGACACATAACCCTGTAAAATAATAGAGAAAAAGCACTTGGTCCCTCTCTCTCTCTCTGTCTCGTTTCTATCCCCATTCACCTCAAACGGTGAGTCGCGACCGGACTCAGCGAACCCACTTTGGCAGCTTCTTGTACGGGTTCGCTGCCTTCTTCTCCCGCAGCGGTTTCCCGCTTGCCGCTGCCCTGGCGCGTTTCGCCTCCACTCGGACGTTGACGAGCTCGCGGCCATCCTCCTTCTTCGCAATGCGGCCGTCCGCGACTTGTTTTGCCTTCGCCTCAAGCATCTTCTCACGCCGCTGACTGCCTTGCACGACACTGTTGACCATCTTGTAATACCGCGCTGCCTTCTTTCGGGCCACCTGCAGCTGCATCTTGCGCGTGGCCGCTTCCTGGCGCTTCATCTCCGCCAGCTTGCGCTTCAAACGCTGCCCCGATGGCTCCTGCTGCTGTCGTGACTCCCGCGACTTCAACTGAGCTAGACGCCGCCGTGCGACCACCTCGTCTGTGGGTGTATTCATTAGATTCATCTTGCGCTGCTTCGCCACCTTCAGTGCGGAAAGCTTGCTACGCTGCACATTCTCCGTGACTTCCTCCTCCTCCCATTTCGGGCGGTGACTGGCCTCCAGGAGCTCGTCGCCAGAGAGCGACACGTCGTCGTCGGCACCCAACTCCGGCACCAGTGCATGCTCCTCATCGCTTTCATCGTGCAGCAACAGGTCGGATGCCTTTCCTTCTGGATCTAAAGGCGTGTACTGAGGGTTGACAAGAGCACGTATCTCATGCACCCGCTTCGGCACATAGGAGACTATCTTTGGATGATTCTTCTTCGCCTCCTCCACGGCGGCAATATCCTCGGCGCTGTTTGTAATGGCCACCGTAAAAGGAGAAACATGCGGCGGAAGCTCCTCACCAATACGATAGCCGTTGGGCGGAAGCAACATGCGTGCGTTGAGGCAATCAAACAGATATTGTGGCTGCACATACTCGATGTGATCCACACGCTCAAATCCGGGTGGTAGTGCAGGTCGATCAACTACAAAGTGTGTGATGTTGTCTGCCGCGTAGGCCGTTGCCACGCGACCACCACACGCTTCAATTATAAGAGTGGCATGTTTATGCGGTACTTCACGCGAAATGTAAAATGTTAGCCCGTCAAACACGCGTCGTGCTTTCCGCAGCTCCTCCTGCATAAGTTCCCCCTTTTTAAGGGTATCCTTCTTTAAATCACTAATTGACTGCGTCATTTCTTTATCAGGGATGCGGAAGTCCTCAGCGTGTGTGTTATTCTCTTCATCCTCAGCCTCTTGCTGTTCCACCACGTCGCGCTGAAGTTCGTGCTCTAGTTTGTACAAAACAAAATGCATAAGCTCAACGTAAAACTCAAGGAAACTGAGAGTAATATACTGCTGAATACCGGGTGGAAACTTGTGCGCGTACTCGTGGGGACACAACCAGCGCACCCGTTCCCCACGCACAATGGCTTCAAAGTAGTATCCCTTTATTGAAATAAATCCCTTTGACAACACGTGGGCCCGCGCAACGTAGCGATTCCACCGCTCAATAATTCCCCGTGCACGTTCATGTAAACCCGACGTTAATGCATGGTGTGTTTCAATGGTCGTTTCGCTCATCACTTCTGGACTTAGGAAAGCGTACAGGGCAATCATAGACATGGCGTCGTCAATGTCCCGTACGGCATCAATAAAAAAAGGGTACCGTTCCTTGATTGTTGCCACAAGACTGTATTGTGGCTTTGCTTTCTTGCTCCTCAGGACCTTAAGTTCATCAGCAAGACCCATCGCCTCAGCCCGGCGTACCTTCTTCTCCCACGCACAGTATGCCATCATGCGCTCGGCAACGTGATCCCGCACGAGCCACTTAATCTCCCGCGCGAGGTAGTACTGTTTGTCGTTGCCACTTTGTTTTTGTTTGCTGCGAGCGAGAGCACGAGGGTAAATGCCCTTAAGGATGCAGAGACGACGAAAGTGAACAGAGTCGACCTGCAGAAGGCGAGTTGCCTGCATGCGTGTGAGGAACTTCTTCTTTAAGCGTTCCTTCTTCACACGCTTCGCCCACACCTGCTTGCGGTGCATTTTTTATTTACGCTCTCTCTCTCTCTCTCTCCCTACTCGTTGATCTCTACGGCTACTGCGTTCAATGTAGCAAAGCAAAAGAAAAAGAAAAAAGAAAATATATATATTTATATATATGCAACATATTCCGGCAACCGGCATCAAGAGAAGGGTATACGCAAATATATGTTCTTTTTGCTCAGCCATGGATTTTCTTTTCATTCCCCCTCCCTCCTGCGCGCTCTCGCAGCGTAAGACATACACAAACACACACAAACAAACAGAAAGACTACAACGTGCCCTTCTGTGCAGTAACATCTTCTTCAGTTTCTTCGTCCTCGTGCTGCTGTTCATCGTCGGTGTCACGCATGCATTGCGTGGAATCGCCCTCCTCGCTGCAAGCCTTCTCCATTCTCCACTGTGCCCGTTGCAGTTCCTCGAGTGCGGCACTCTCGATCCGCATGCGGCGATCGTGTTCACATCCCGGATAGATGCCGTCCTCAAATTTTCGATCGAGTAACTGCGCATCCTCAACGTTGTCTGTGGTAAAGGTGTACGGCGGGGTGTAGGTGGTGTAAAGATACGTGCTGCGCGCCTCCAGCGACGGGTAGTCATCTGACCACTCGCTCATTGTGCTGAATCCCTCCAGAGGGACCACATGATTCGTATCGGGAATGCGGCGTGTAAAGAGAACGCCGCCAAGGTGGTCCAGTTCGTGCAGCGCCATACGTGCCCTCATCTTCTCAAGCGTCACTTCAAACGGATGTCCGTCTGCTCCAATGGCTCGTATCCGCACGGTTGCCGGTCGCTCAATGTAATGCATAAGGAAGCAACAGCTCGCACAGGGCTCCCACGCAAAACATGTCTTTCCTTCACGACGGCAGCTCGCCACCCACTGCGCCTCCGCTTCGGCAATCGGCATCCCGCTACGACTTCCTGCCGCCTCCAATTCCAGTAGATCCAAATTGACAGGGTTGATGAAGACGCTGCCGTCAAAAAGAGTAAACATCTGAACGTTCCACCCAATCTGTGGGGCGCAAAGAGACGGGTACTGATAATATTGTCGAGCTGCTCGTACCCGCTCAATCATTTCCGCAAACCCACCACTACGTACCTGCTCAGGATCTAGCGGATACTGCTTGCACCACAAAGAACGCGCAGGTAGCTGCACAATCGGGTGCTCAACGTGCACCGTGTTTCCCGCCATGTAAGCAGCCTCCCCAGCAGCATTATTGTTGTCGTATGCTGTACGTGACGAGTTTAGTCGTGTAGAGCAGCACAAGGCCGCACGTAATGCGGGGCGGCATGCATCATTCCGCCGGGGAAAAAGACCCATTTTCCGGTAACTGCTGCAAAAAAAAGTGCAACGGATACAAGATCGAGTCCACATTTTCGTGCCCACCCTCAAACAAAACAGGAATCAGAGAATTACAAGGAGACGCAAACGCACGGTAGAGTCCGCCGCCTCAACCTATAAAAAAGACACAAGAGAAAAAAAAAAAAAAAAAAAACATAACTTCCCAATCAATTTATGTGTGGCACTTCATCCACGCATTGCGTACACGCTCCCACGCACAAACATACATACATACACACATACACACACACGCACTCTCCGCTCATCTCCACTCCCTCGTTATATTCATATGATATACGGCGTACTCTCGGGCGCAAGATGAGAATGTGTCGAGCAGAAAACCCTGTTAGACACATATATATATATATATATATATATATATATATATTACCAAACTGTTCCTTTTTTTTTTTTTTTTCGTTTCATTGGTGTTTTCTGGATTTTCTCACTCTTTCTGTCCCGCCCCTTTTCCTCTGTTTTTGTTTTTTTTGTTTCTTGTTTTTGTTTGTGCTAATGTTAGAAGTCGCCACCTTCTTAACAGGATGCCGTGCATCTAAGGGAGCCCCTACCGGATCCTACGCTGTACATGCCGTGGTGAGTTCACCAGATTTACATCACCAAAGACTATGTTGGATTTGGTAATTGAGTGGCCCGGCACACGTGCACGGCCTGTCCTCACACGCGGCGTGGGAAATAAAGATGCACTGTATTCGCCGCCTTCACTAAGTACTGATGTTTTGCTGGACACCGTCGTGGCGGAAGTATTGTTACGCTGCTTTCCAATCACATCATTATGCCGTCTCAGCATTTCGCTGTTGCTTCCACGTGTTGACCGCGGGTGGCTCCAGCTGCGCACGGAAGGAGAGGGGGCGACGCTGCTGCTGCGGCTGGCCAATGAACCACCGCGACGAATTTTCTGATGGCGTGTTGGTGTCCCGCTGTTGCGTGGCTCTTCTTCACCGAAGGGCACATTTTTGCTCTGAATCGTGGAGTGGTTACTCCTCTTTTCATCAATGACACTCGTAGAGCCCAGCGACGACTGTCGATGCCTTGTTGATCCCTCGAGATCCTCAGAACCATACGGCTCTGTGGTGCGAGCAGACGTACATGAAGGAGCTCGTTGCATCATGCGCTCCCGTCGCTTCCTAACGCCAAAAATGTCGTTGTCTGAGGCTGAGAAACTTCGCGCGGGATGTGCAAGTCGACGGGAGAGTTTCTGTGGTGGCAGGGTGAGCTTCGGCTGAGTGGACTCGAACATCTTCACCGCCTCCATGGTGCGGACCCCGTGGCGGGAAGCCCCCACCTCACACAGCAGATCCCGTGATTGGAGATTCGCCCCAAGTTTATCGGCAGGCTTCAAGCCCACCCTCCGCACGCCTGTTCGTGGGGTTTGTGACGCGGTTCGTAATTCCGCTTCCTTTGAATTGCCGTCAAACAGACGAAGAGTGGTTCTGCCTGCACTGTAGTTGCCGTGGCGTCGGCCTCTCACTGGAGAAGCGTTCCGTTCTTCAGAGCACAGAACAAATCGCGCTAGCGACCCAAGTCCATCGTTATTTTTCTTAACTGGTTTCGCCGAGGCTTGCGATTTTGACGCTGGTTCCGTGTCAAAGATGTGACTCTGGTGCATTTGCTTCCAGTTCGCGCGGTACATGCGATTTCTGACGGGTACCAACTCGGGATCCACGCGGTGCTGCATCTCGTAGAGAAACCGCAGGTCATCCCTCTGCGACAGATCCAGACGATGCATCTCGGGGCGCATTTCTTTCAATTGTGGCTTCCGAAACAGCAGGGAAAGCAACTCCTCCCGCGACATCTCCTTCGGCCTCTGAGAAGAGCGGCGGGCCCCGTTTTTACCCCGCCCCTGCGCCAGTCCATTCAAGTTTCGCTGCGAACCGCCGTCAAGATCACCACGAGGAGATTTTTTAGCACAGCCGTTGGAAGCGTTGCTGGCAGAGCGTGAAGCCTGCGGTTTCCCGTTACCCCATCGGTTGCCCTTCAGACTGTCCGCACGAGAGCGCGATGCGGCAGAAGGCGAAGAACGACCGCCTTGCACCGCATTCAGCTTCGAGGACCTCGCGGAGTTCCTCTGACTCGCCCGCTCCATAAAATTCTTCCTTTCGCCGCAAGACCAAACAAGTTCACCAGATATCCTGCTTGAACGCACACACTTGTGGTTTCACGAATACCGCCAATGGAGCTTCTATAAGCAAATACCAATGGTAGCACTACCTCTTCCCTGTTGTTGTTAATATTGTGCGTATTTTAAAAATCAGAAATAACCCATATATGTATATATACATGTGGTGGTGAAAGCCAAACAAAAGAAAAAAAAAAAGGAAAAGAAAAAAAAAGAAAAAAAAAAACCATTATCCTGAATGTGACCACAATAAAAAAGGAATGTTTCAAGGCAAGGCATGTATGACAATGTTTTACTTTTATTCACTGCCCCCCTCCACGTAACAACAACAAAAAAAAAAAAAAAAAAAAGACATCACACACATAAGCAAACACACACACACACACTCTCTCTCTCTCAAAAAAAAACCTTGAAATATGCACACATACACAGGTCAGAGGGAATTTCGACGTCTTGTCTTTTTTGTGCTGGCGACAGATTCAGATGATGGGCCATAACCAGCTGCTTCTGCAACAAAGTATTGCAAGTGCCGGCGCGAACGTGAGGAGTACCTCGCCGATGACGCAGAAGAATGATTCCATTCATTCCATCGCTGCAGTGAGGTATTCACCATTCCATGCACGCCATGTTGCATGGAGAAGTGAGAGCCATTTGTATCATCATCAAATTCCCACAATTTCATACCGCCGGCCAGTGGTGTGCCACGTTGCGTGGTGGAACGACTCACTGCCGAGAGTTCACTCCCTATCGCTGTAGCGGTTGAGGGCAACCCCGCGACAGCACTGCTGCTCCCTTGAGGCATCATTCCAGCAACAGTGAATGCCTCCCCCATGTCCCACCCTCGTGATGAAAAGGTCAGCATCGACGATAGTGGTGGCGGTGCTGTTACCGCTGACGACCCTGAGACTGTCTCAGCGGAGGTGCGCAAAGACAAGAGGCGCAAGTCCGCGGCCAGTGGTTTTTCAGTCTGTATCGCAAACGCTGAGTGACGCGCGCCAATTGCCGGCCCAATAAGCTTCGCTGGCGTAATGCTTGGCAAGTCAACGTACGCCACCCCACTCTCGGCACCATTCCCGGTGTTAGGTGTCACAATTGCCATATGCAGCGGCGATGTTGAGCCCTCTGCCGCCCGCGTAGGTGAGGTGAGACGCTCCGGCGTAAGATTCCTGGTGCTGGGGTTTGTGGAAGTGCTGTTTACACCTTCGCGTCCCCACGATGGGACCGAACCCGAACCCTCAGTGCTTTCCATATTACGTGATACGGATGGAAATTTGAGACGAATGCCCACATGGATGCGTCTGGGCTTCCCCAAAGCGTCAAACCAGGTGCCCTTCCAAAGCCAGGATGGGATGCGCATGGGCACGGCAATAGGTCCACTATAATCAGTGATAAATGCCACCTCGTCTTGTACACTTCTTGTAAAGCGTTGGTATTCCAAATGGCTACAATTCACCTCCCAAAATTGAAGCTTACGCAAACCCATAATGACTAATCCAACAATATGACGACCGTCCAAGCAGTGGACATAAAATTGGGTGTCGTTCCACATTAATGAGCAGCTGTAGCACCTCACTCATTTCTGTCGGTAG